TACAAGTACTAATATTTAGATTACTCAACAAAATCATCTACCAGAGGTTGCCAGTTGTTGATCTAAAAGAATATTTAGAATGGCTTTTAATTAATTAAAATGAAAAGAGCATATAGGAGGCATGACTATATTATATATATGATTCATCTAATAGTGGAAGGCACTGAAAAATTCCACTCTCTAATTTATATTTTACTAAAGCACGTGTTATTTTTCAAATAAGCATGATTAGATACCTGATTTTGGATCCAATAACTGAAGTAATAGCAGTGCATTCTAGAGCAATCATATATAATTACTATCACAATTATTTAGATGTGATGAAAATAAAAACTTCAAGTATTTGAAAGTCACATTAGATCCTAAAAAATCTAAAGTTGAGTTGCATTAGATCTATATATAAAAAAAAAAACTTTCTCAGCATTTGTCTCTCTATTTATAAGATTTGAATTTAAAATCTTAATTAGCTTTCTCAGCATTTGTCTTTTTATTTATAAGATTTAAACTTGAAATCTTAATTAAGGATAACTAAACTCCTTCTACTTGGATCAACAAGTTATTAGTGGTCATTTTCTTTTTTAATTCTTTTTTTTTTTTATGTAAAGTGCAAAACAATATATAAGTATAATATATATATATCATGACTTAATTACAATACAAAAATAAAGAAATATAAAGAAATTTCATATTTATAGGGACTCAAGCACATATCCCATAAAGTTGTGGGACCTCAAACACATAACCCACAAGTTGTAAGGCCTTTGTCTTTATCACTGACCGACGATCACTGACCGACGAGTCATTAGCTTCATTTTTAATTTTATAAAGGCTTAAAAAAAATATTGTATAATTTAAATTATATTAAATTACATAATTTAAATTATTAAATGAGAGGCATGCTTTTGATATTGAAGACTATCTCCAAAGGTGGAGTCAAAAAATATTTTTACGGGGGCAAAATAAGTTTTGATTAAAAAAAAAAAGAAGATGATTTTGTGTGTTAATTTGAAAAATCAAAAAAATATTTTAAATAACATTTGTTAATATTTAATGATAAACTAATAATGGTTGATAACATGTATAAACACCATTAATTGAAAGATAAAAATGAACATATATTAAGTAGAAGAATATATTCTATAAACAAAGAAAAGAAAATAAAGATATTAAAGAACATAAGCTATATAAAAAAATGATAATAAACTATTTTTTAATTTAATTTTTACTTTTTTTCCCCCATATTTTTTGTTATCTTTATTTTCCCCAAAGTTCTCTTTATCTTTAAAATTAATTTTTCAACAACACAAATGCTAAAAAATGATTACAATGATATGAAATAAGTGAAGATAAAAATGATAAAAATAAAACATAAGGGATCAAACTATATTTTTTACTAAAGTTTAGAGGGGGCTTCTGGAACCTCACGCCCTCTTAACTCCGTCATTGTTAACCTTCGTTAAATAATTTCTCTTTTACGATTTAGGCTAAGATATTAATATGGTCCCTCAACTTTTAAATTTATACTAAAATTTTCTTAAACTTCAAAAAATACCAAAATAGTCTTTGTATTAACAGAAGTACTAGGTAGCTCATTATCTTATCACAAATGTAGTTTTTCTTTAAAATACTAATGATGTGTAAACTCAAATAGTGACATTTGGCCATCATATTATATTTCCATTTATATATTAGATTGATGTGTAATTATAGTTGAAGAACCAAATTGATATTTATAATCAAAGTTAAAAAACTAAGTTAATACTTGTTTTTAAAGATCAAGGATTAAGTTGGTTCTGCTGTCTTAAATTTAAGACCATTTTGATACCGAAAATTAGAGTTCAAGGAAAATTTTAGTATTTTTTTAAGTTTAAGGACAATTTCAATATAAATCCAAAAATTAAGGGACTAACTTAACACTTTAACCTACAATTTAATACAATCTAAAACTCATAAAGATTTGGGTTGAGGATTGGTTTATATTTTCATGGGAGCAAGTACGATCGATTGGGGAAGGCCGAATGCCGTTAGTTTGGAGACTAAGTGTATGTCCACCACATTTAAAGGGTTAAACTGCCTATTTGCCCTCTAAACATTTTTTTTTCATGGTCAACACCTAAATTTTTTTTTTTTCGATCAACACCCTTTATAATTAAAAACCATGAATAACCTAAAAGTTAACAAAGATGTCATGTGCCTCTCATGTGAACATTAAATTTTGTTAATGTTTGATGACATGTCAAACTTTTGATGATGTGTATGAATTTCATATGACATAGCATATGAGTCAAGCAAAGTGGACATATTTTATATGAGGTGGCTATTTTTAATAACATGGCACATGGTCCAACCTTTAAAAAAATACTAAACTAATTTTGATATGATCCCCACAATTATTGAATTTCAAATAAGATTGGTTCTTATACATTATAAATTTTAAACTAATTATTAATTTAAAAGAAAAACTTTACTCCAATCAAAATACACCATGTGAGTGCAGTGAAGAATACATGTTAGTTCTCATGCCAAGCTTGCAATCAGTTTCCTTTCCAATTGTAAGTTGGTCACCATTGATCATCCTGACATTGACATCAACATGGAGAGCAAGGTGGATAGTCTCAACACTATCATGCCTTGGAGGATCAAAAAGAGGCAAAAGACTCACGAATTGCCGTGGGTCTCCAGCACTTTCCACCACTACAGAGTATCTTCACTCACATTTCCACAATCACTCAACCTCACTCTTTCCGACAATGGAAGCTTCACTCATGACAATCTAAAGACTCCTCTCACCTATCTCTATTTCCCTTTCAACCGCCACCAGCACCAAAATCGCCCCTAAATCCCTTACTTCCAAGTTCTTACTCGCCTCTATTCCCCTTAAGCTTCGCTGTCATCATCACCGCTCAAGACCCACTTCTCTTCCCTTCTGCACAAGAACCACCCTCATTTTAGCCATATTATTTGTCAACGACAAGCTTCCAGATGCCACCCTTTCTTACTTCGACTCCACTGGCGAGCTCCAAACTACCACAATTTTCACTTTCACCTCCAATAAGAAAGTCATCCTCTTCACCATCTCTGGCACTTTCACCCCCAAATAAAATTCATGATTTGATTCAATTTGTGAAAATTCATGATCAAATAAAAGAAAAAATAATATATATATATATATATATATATATATATAATCATCCAAAATCAAAGAACCCAAGGATACTGAATGAGGGAAAGGGAAGCCTTTCAAGGAGATTTACATAGGCTGGTGAGGTCGAGATCAGAGTAGGGTGTGGGTTGATCTTCGATGAGAATAATTTAAAAAGGTTGTTAGAGCCGAATGAGAGTGATCTAGATTTTAGAGCCCATTCCTTTACAAACCATAGACTTTCATTTCTTCATTTGGCGGAGAAAGATGGATTGGAGCTGAATAGAGCAAAGTTGACCCCCTTTTTTTATGATGTGGACGCCACATCATGCCATGTCATTAAAAATTTTG